AAACCTTATTTGCAACCTCCCAAAGATGCTAGGAGCGTTGTGGCCTAGGCTTCCCAGGATAAAACTTGCTAATGATTCAATGTTTGAGCACTCAAACAAGGAATCCGGCGAGCAAGACAATGGCTATGAACACAGTAGGCCAAGAAAGAGTAGAAGCAGAGAGGTTTTGAAGCTGGAAAACCGAACTTTCGTGTTCTATTGCTGTGTGTAAAACTCTACTGCCTCTACCCTCTCTTATATAGGGTTGAAGGAGCCAATAGCCTTTATTATGGCAATTAAAAATGACATTAAAGCTGCCTTCCAACAGCTATAACAGCAGGCCACTACCTGGGAATTGAATTCAGAATTCAAAATTGGAATTAATAGACAATTAATTCCGTAACAGATGAATTCAATCCCCTCAACAGTCAGAACTTTCGGGTTCCTGACCGTTAGCGTACAGGGTTCGGTCTCAACTTTCGACCTCATCCAGTTTTGGCCCTTGCACCTTTCGTGGACTCTGTTGCACGAGAGTTGTGCTCTCGGCGCACGAGAGTGGCTATACCAGTTGGAAAATGACCGAAGTTTGGCATAACTTAGCCCGCAAGGCCAGCCAATTTCCGGACGACATTCGTGCCCCCAGGTGCCGGCGCACACGAGCTCGGGCTTGAATCAAGCCTTTTTCAATCTCTGCTAGTTGGAATTTGATTTGCACACCCCCCCCCCCCCCCCCGCGCGCGAGAGAGCCTCTATGCTATACAATTCTACAAGCTTCAAAAGAGCTCTTGTATATAAGGGGGGAAAATCTTCATTCCAAAGCAATGTGGGACAAAAAACTCACTTTTTCCCTTCATTTTCCAACTCAAATGGGTCTACTTTGAGAATCAATATCTCATTCACCCATTATTCGTTTTGAGCGTACAATATATCGATCTCTTCGTCTCACTACGAAGAATCCGAATCCACTTTAACCCGACCCAAATCGGAAGTGGACCCCACTGATAATTGTACCACAAAATAGCCACTTAACATGCTATTTTATGTCATTTTAAGCTATTTTTTCCAACAGTTTATAGGCCAATTTTGACTTATTTGACCACTATTAGTTGTTTGACTTTGTTTAAAAATCAATATAAGTGTAAATTCAAAAAAAAATACTCAAAGCAATTTTTTCAATTAGCTTTTTGAAAAAAAAAAAAAAAAATTATACCATTCAAACAGCTATCAGCTAACAGCTAATTTACCAAACACCTTTTTACAATCCGCTAATGTTATCAACTAGTTATACCCTCTAATTAGCCCAATTAGCTATTTACCAAACATGGCCTTTTTTTATAAAAATTAAAAGCAACATATATAAATGCATTTATAATTTTTTAAAGTTGAATATATGCAGGTAAAACACTGAACAAGGCAAAAGAGTTGCTTAAGGTTATAGACGAAATATTGATCCTGGGGAGTAGCTTTTGCATTGCCGATGCATTTCCTTCTTGGAAAATCCTTCACTTGCTGGCCGGAGAAAAGAGTAGGATGGTGAAAGTTCGGCGCAAAGCTGACGAAATCATGGGAGACATCATTAACGAGCACAGAAACAACTTGGATTGCGGCAAAACGGGGAGTGGTGAGTCAGGTGCCGAGGACATAGTTGATGTCCTCATAAAGCTCAAGGATAGCAACACTCTTCCTGTGTCCATCACAGACGACAACATCAAATGTGTAATTCTCGTACGTATCTGTTACTATACGTTACTATACATACTTTTAAACATGCATGCAAATATATTTGTCTTGTCAAGGATTCACTACCCAAAAGCACAAGATGTTGGGTCACCACTTGTTAGGATTAAGAGCTTACTAAAATTGAAGCATGTGCTCTATCTCAACTAAAAGTCTAAGCTGCCACCACCACTTGTTAGGATTAAGAGCCAGCTGAGATTTGGATTGCACATGCTCAACACGCCCCCTCACCCCCTCACGTGTGAGTCAGTGGGTTCCAAGCAATATGGGGTGACCCATGACCTAGCAACACGCACATGCTCAACACGCCCCCTCACCCCCTCACGTGTGAGTCGGTGGGTTCCAAGCAATATGGGGTGACCCATGACCTAGCAACACGTGTACCGTAGTCGCTTATGGGGTGACGTAGAGATTCAAACCCATGACCTTTGGTCTGGCTCTGATACCAAATTGAAGCATGTGCTTGATCTCAACTAAAAGCTTAAGCTGATAGAAGGGTGGGTTCCAAGCAATATGGGGTGACCCATGAGTCATGACCTAGCAACACGTGGACCGTAGTCGCTTATGGGGTGACGTAGAGATTCAAACCCATGACCTAAAAGCTTAAGCTGATAGAAGGGTGGGTTCCAAGAAATATGGGGTGACCCATGACCTAGCAACACGTGGACCGTAGTCGCTTATGGGGTGACGTAGAGATTCAAACCCATGACCTAAAAGCTTAAGCTGATAGAAGGGTGGGTTCCAAGCAATATGGGGTGACCCATGACCTAGCAACACATGGACTGTAGTCGATTATGGGTGACGCTGAGATGGGGTGACGTAGAGATTCAAACCCATGACCTAAAAGCTTAAGCTGATAGAAGGGTGGGTTCCAATGGGTGACGCTGAGATGGGGTGACGTAGAGATTCAAACCCATGACCTAAAAGCTTAAGCTGATAGAAGGGTGGGTTCCAAGCAATATGGGGTGACCCATGACCTTGCAACACGTGGACCGTAGTCGATAGAAGGGTGGGTTCCAAGCAATAGGGGGACCGTAGTCGATAGAAGGGTGGGTTCCAAGCAATAGGGGGACCGTAGTCAATAGAAGGGTGGGTTCCAAGCAATATGGGGTGACCTATGACCTAGCAACATGTGGACCGTAGTCGCTTATGGGGGGTAACGTAGAGATTCAAACCCATGAGGTGACGCTGAGATTTGAACCTATAACCTTTGATCTGCCTCTGATACCAAATTGAAGCATGTGCTCCATCTCAACTAAAAGCCTAAGCTGATAGTTGGATTGCACATTAATAGTTATATGCTCAACAACTAATACGTCAAAAGTTGTAGTTAGTACCGAAGGGCACAACTTTATTTACTTATAGACCACCATCACAATTTTTAGAGGCACTTCACCATTCTCCGCCCAACAGTCCCCTAGCCACCAATTGATAGAGCTGACATTTTACCGGCCTCCGCCCAATATGTTTTAACCAATCTGGTTGTCGTGAGTGCCTATATGTGCACTCTTATCCCTTAAGAGAAGTCCGAAGTTCAAAGAGTAATCTTGTATGAAAAAACTAATATAGCTAGTCAGACTTTGCCCCTTAATTGGACCAACCCCATTATTGTGTGGGTCATGGTCCATATAGCTGTGTGGACAATACTTTCAAATAATGTACATTCAGTACACAAATAATATACTTTTAGTATATTAAAATGTACTTTTTGTTACGGTCCACACAGTTTTGTTATGGTTCACACATCACTATGTGGACCGTGGTTCGCACAATAATTTACCGTACTAACGAGATTAATTTAAGTATGGTACGAGTTTAAAGATGAATCCTTATAGTTAGGGTCTACTTAGGACATCTGTGATCTAATACAGACAAAAAAAAATTGCTTTGCTTGTAAGTTGTAATTATTGCGGTACGTGATGATACGATGCAGGATATGTTTGGAGGAGGAGTGGATACATCAACGACAACAACAGCGTGCGCCATGGTGGAAATGGTGAAGAATCCGAGGGTGTTGGCCAAAGCACAAGCCGAGGTGAGACAAGCTTTCAAAGGGAAACAAACGTTGTTGTTAGACGAGAATGATGTGGAAAAGTTGCCATACTTGAGTTCAGTCATCAAAGAAACGTTGAGGCTTCACCCCACGGGTTCCATGATTTTGAGGGACTGCAAGAAAGAAACTGTGGTCCGCGGATACACTATTCCACCCAAAACCAGATTAATCATCAACGCTTGGGCAATGAGTAGAGATCCCGAGTACTGGAAAGATCCGGAGAGCTTTAAACCAGAGAGATTCGAGGATAATCCCATGGATTACAATGGAAGCCAATTGGAATATATGCCATTTGGGGCAGGAAGGAGGATATGCCCAGGCATTTCATTTGGGTTAGCAAATGTTCAGACTCCTTTGGCATATTTGCTCTACCACTTTGATTGGAAAATCCCTCATGGAATCACACCTGATGGACTGGAAATTGCTGAAAAACCTGGAATTGTCATAAAGCCAAAGAATGACCTTTTATTGATTGCTGCTCCTGCCTCTCTTGCTGCTGCTTAACTATATATTGTTTACTCATATCATGCATGCATGCATCTACATACCCATTGCCCACTTCCAATTAGTATTATAATACCTAAATTGATGTATTATTATTACATCCAGAATAATGCACTTTCTGCCATGTAATTAAATTAAAACTACAACTTCTTCTTGTTTATATATCAAGAATAATTATAAATCTATAATAATTACGAGAATGTTATTGTATTGTCCTCATTTCCCCCTTTTTTTTTTTTGAACTGTTGATCATTCGGACATAGGAATGATTATTTTGCATTTGTTTTTTTAACCAGAAACATCACTGCTGGAAATCTGCATTTTTCCGACCACCCAAAAATGATCAGAAAAGGGAGATTTCCGGTCGGAAATGCAGTTTCCGACCACTTCATGGATTCGAAAAAAAAGCCCTCGCTGTTACCGACAACTACTCAAGGTCGTCGGAAATACCGGCTTCTTTTTGAGGACGTCGGAACTACTAGTTGTCGGACACAGAGAGCATATTTCCTACCACTGGTGGTCAGTAATTGGTCGGAATTACCATCCACCGGTGGTCGGTAAGATTTACAAAGAAAAAATTAAAAAAATTGAATTACCGACCACTAGGTGGTCGGTAAGATTTACTAACAAAAAAAATAAAATTTAAAATTTTGAATTAGACCTATTACAATTATACAAATTTCAGCACCACAATATTAAATTCTACAATACAATTAACAATTTAAGAAAATCAAACATTACTCAATCATTTAAATCAAGGTGTAGCAATTATTTCACCATAAAGAATACGTTTGTCAAAATATTAGCTAAACATGCATGCTAATAAGATTTTGTAGCAATTGTTTCATCTTCCAAATGAGTTATAAGAAGCTTAAAACAATTGCTACAAATGGTCTATTCTTAAGTGTTACTACAAATGAGTCATAAGCATCTATTTAAAGTTCTAAACCATAAATGGCTACCACAAAACGGGAGAAACTTTTGGGTTCAATGAAGGGTGAAAGAGGATTTGACGAAAATTTAAAAAGAAAATTGATTGCTCTAGTAGACAACTTAGATATCTAGGTACCTATCGGGATTATTTCTCATTTGGAAACGTGAATTTCTCTCTAACTTGAGGCCCCGATGATTTTTTAGAAAATAAGCTACGCTTTGTCGCTTTCCAACCGAGTGAATCTGCTTTTGCATAGCCTTTAGGAACACCTCGACCTGTAAGAAAAGTTTTGTTAACTCATCATATGCATTTAAAAACAAAAATTAAACAATATTTCCTTCTTTTTTCCTCTTCTTTAGATTATACCAAAATTTTGTTTAATTGACTGAAAACAAAATTTTTCCTCTTCTTAATAACTATTAAAGTCTTGGACAACAAAAGCTCCAAATAAAAGAAGGCACTATTATCAAGGTCAAATGAAAGCAATTTCTCAAGTATAAACAGAAGGCAATTGTAGCTCAAACGAGCATCATTCACCTCTGGCTTCCTCCAGGCTCCAGCTATTCTCTGTCTTTTCCTAAGGAGAGCAAGAGCGGCCATTTTGGCTTGCTGATTCCAAAGCCCTTCTTTCTGAATGAAGAACCATCAACAAACTAAACCATGGTGGCCTGAGAAATAAAGCCTTAACAAGAGATTGGAAATTAAAGTAAACCACTATAAAGAATAACTACTGTGAGAATACTCTATTTCATCAAAGTAACTTTCCAAAAGAGATCAAGTCAATGACTTTAAATTTTTTACTCTTGCCGACATTCTCTAACTGGCACTTGACTCAAACCGCTTGCCTAAACCAGTAAACCATGCAAGGGTTTCATTAGAATTCAATATCCCCTTCCCCTTGTTTCCTACAACTTACTTGTGGTTCTACGGATGCAGATGAAATCTGTAGCCACAACCTAGAGTGTGGAAGAGATAAATCTTGCCTACTAACTCTGAACAACGAGGAGTTAAACTAGACCAGTCTAGATTGTCTAAACTGACAAATTCAAATCAAAAAGACTAATAACCGACTCCTAAATTGGTTTGGGTTACCCCATCTGGAATTGTTAATACTTAATAGTATGAGATTGATTGAGCTTACTTGAATTTCAGTATAAGCATAACAGGTCCAAAAATTTAATCTTTTGCAATTAGCATGTCATCCTGCATGAGGCAACAAAAGCATATATAGAATGTTTTGGATTCTCTACATATTGAAGATTTTAACTGCATCCATCTTTTTATGATTGAATTATAGTCTAGAAGGTTTTTACCAGGACATCTGTAAATATAGTTGGCTGGATGAAATAGTCTTTTCTGTCCAATGGCTTACCACCAGTTACCAATATAGCACCCTCCCTCTTCCCATGCTCTATGAAAGTATCTTCTCATACTGGTTTTTGCTAGCCTAAATGCATCAAATAGACATGCATGTTAAAGCATATTGGTATTGGTAAACTTAATGGTGTATATGGCTTGTTTCAAGCAAACTAGATCATACTTGGGGTCCCTGTTGAACATTTGGATCAAAAGGGTCATCAACTACCTTTGCCTTCGCCTTTGCGACCACTTTCTCAACAAACTTGTCATAAATTCCTTCCTGGACAAACACTCGTGAGCCAGCCACACATATTTCACCCTGCCAAAATGCCAAATTAAAACCCCAATATCAATCAGTATATCTACATGCTAAGAGTTGAGGAAAGGAAACCTGGGATGGATATTACCTTATTATATGCGACACCAGCTAAACCAAGATAGCAATTAGAAGAAATGCATAGTAATGATCTATATAGCTAAATTCTCACATGCTCTTGTTTAAAAAAAAAAAAAAAAAAAAAAAAAAGTTTACATAATAAGAATTAGATAAGGCCACCTTAATGTGCAGTTGCTCCTTTTTAGATCCCACAATGACCTTTGTGTCCTGTTTTGATTGAGTGACCTTAGTTCCAGGAAAGATAAAGGTAGTAGTAAAACAGCTTAACTAATAGGACAATGGCAATTGACAACCAATTGAAGTTAGGGTAGATAGGTCTTGAGGAGATAATAAGAATCAGTGGTTTTTAAAATCATTTTTAATAATAGCGAAGATGGAGTGTGAAAAAAGAATAACCTTCAAGATGAGGTTCTGTCACGTGATGAACATCAGAAGTGAAACTTCCACTGAGAAATTCAGCATAGATTGTTGCACCCCTTTTCTGCTCACTCAAACAAGGAAAATTCGGGTTGCATGTGATGATAAGGAATGGAATGAAACTACTAGACTTGGGAAGTACATGCGAGAGTTTACCTTTCCGTGCTCAAGTTCTTCCAGAAGCAGAACTCCAGCTCCTTCACCCATGACAAACCCATCGCGGTCCTGTCAATAGCAATATCAGCAGATGCAAGTAATTCTAATCTAACAGAGAAGATGCAAATGAAAGAAATGGCATTAAACTATCCCAAGGCCGTGAAGCTCTATGAGAAAGTGCCCTGCAAGCAATAAATCCACCAACTCCTGCAACAAAGACGTTCGATATGTGACAGCCAAAAATAGCTAGCTAAATCAATGTATAATTACAAAAGAAGATATAATAACAGTTGGTATAATTACTGAATCAGATCCCCCAGAAAGCATCATATCCTGAAACTCTTAAAGCATTTTAAACAATATAAAGTTCAACTCATCAAGATATAGTCATCGTTTTAACCACATTAAAATTATCAGTAAAGTTCATGTTGTAGGAAGTAGGCAAATCCACTTACAGCTTCACCTCTGATGATGTGGTGTATGTATGATTCTTATAGGATAATAGAAGCATAGTTTGGTGATCTTAGCCTAACAGTTTATGTATATTGAACATCAAGAGTCATACATAACCCCTTTATGCATATTGAACAGCAAGAATCATACATACACCCACTGCATTTAATTAATCCAAACATGTGATTAATCTAGTATTCTAGTGCAAGGAAATCCAGTGCATTTAAGCATTCCAGTGAACGGAACTTATATCGATTATTATTTTCATGACATACAAAGTACTCCTTATATTGCATTGCCTCAATGGTGAAAAGAGCTAATGCTGTTTAATTCACCATAATTACAAACTCACCTAAGAAAAGGTCAATCATAGCAATTAAAAAACTGCTCATGTCAATTTGGTTCATAGCAATTTGCTAAGCCACACACCTAAAATGATTTTGTACAATTCTACGCACAATTAGGAAATGACAGACAAATATGAAATCATGAGAATATAGATTTTACAATCCATACCAGTTCCTAATGATTCATAAATCTTTCTTTTCCAGGCAGCAACCACTAACCACCAAGTCAATTTTAATTAAACAATAACAATTCTAGACAATAAATCATCTATTAATCCTAAAAGAAATCAAGAAATGGAAATTTTACTGTCACAATACAAAATTTCAAATTCACCACTTTCAGAATTAGGAATTTAGGGATTAGGGTTTAACATTTGAGTAATACAACTAACCTGTAGCGCAGCAGAGACGGCAACGAAGATGAGCGAATTTGACGGGAAGAGGCGTGCGCTGTCTCGACGGGAAGAGGCTCGACGGCGACCTAGCTCTGAGACGGAAAAATCTCGACGGCGACCAAGCTCTGAGACGGAAAAGCTCGACGGCAACCAAGCTTGTTGTTGTTGACCAAGCTCTGCGACGAGAAGTGGCTCGACGGCAGCGAGAAATTTGCAGAGGCGGGAAGTATTCTGAGATTTGCAGAGTAAACGTGCGAGGTCCGCGAGGAGAAGAGTGAGCGCTGAGAGCAAATGCGCTTTTTGTCTTTTTGTTTTTTTCCAAGTAGAAAAGATGTCTAAGCAAATTGAAGTGTTTTGTTTTATTTTATTTTTACATACCGGAAATTAAGATTAATTAAAAAAATTAAACTGCCGAATAAAATTTTCAAACATTCCGATTACTAATTAAAAGTGGTCGGAAACTCCGACCTATTTGCGTCCACCACAATCTTTCAACGAAAAATTGAAAAAATGTAACTTTTTCCGACAAATTTTTTAGGTGGTCGGAAAATGGTCAGAAAATCAAAGATTTCCAGTAGTGCATTATTCTCACTTGAATATGACACACATATAAGGGTAGGATTAGGTGCAAACATGTGAATTTTAAAGTGCACCACACAGAGCTACAAAGTGCATGTTGAAAACCACGTTGGTAAAATCCAATAATAATCCTACGAAAAAAATTATTATTTTATGGAAATTTTGGAAAGGAAAGGACGAAGGAATATGGTTCGGGTTGGTGTAGGTGGTTAGCACGAGTCGACGGAATCACTCTTTCCTTAAAACTTTATTTGCTACCTCCCACAAGTGCTAGGAGCGTTGTAGCCTAGGTTTCATATGATAAAATGTACTACGGTTCAACGTTTGAGCACCCAAATGAATGAACCCAACGAACGAGAGCTTGGGATGAACACATTAGGCTAAGAAAATGAGTAGAATCAAAGATTTTTGTAGCTGGAAAATGTAAAAGAATTTCTTGTTTAAAAATTCTGTTGCTCTACTACTTCTTATATTGGGGTTTGAAGGAATTAATAGCATTTAGTTTGGCATCTAAAACTAATTTAAAAGCAGCTTGTAACTCCTGAAATAGCACGGCAAATATCTAGGATTTAAATTTGAAATTTAAAATTGGAGTTAATTAAAAATTTAATTCCGTAACTGATAAATTTAATCCCAGATGGTCAGAACCATTGAATTGTCCGGAACAACTCTAGTTGCAAGCCGAACCATCTGGCTCGTGTTGTTCCATAGATTCGGTCTTCCAAGGGGCGTGATTTGGCCTGGAAGGACGAACCCATCAGTTCGATACGCTGAAGGCCGAACTCATCAAGCCAGTACGCTGAAGGCCGAACTCATCAGGCAAGCCGAACCCATCAAGTGGCTTCTGTCGGAAAAATTATACGGAAGTTTGGCATAACTTATGCCCGCAAGGCCAGCCAGTTTTCCGGATGACATTCATGCCTGCACCTTAAGTACAAAACCCACGCACCTTAAGTAAGCACAAAACCCACGCACCTTAAGTACAAAACACACACTCCTTAAATTTGACATAGATAAAAAAATTACCAAATTGCCACCATGTTTTTTTTTTTTAATTTTAGTAATACTGGACGTTGATTTAAGCAAAATCAATTGCTCAAATTTAACTGCACAACCGCACCGGGCGCAATAACGCATTTGAACTTAATTGTGTATATATATATATATATATATATATATATATATATATATATATATATATATATATATATATATATATATATATATATATATATCTACTATACTAATAAGAGCCCAAGAGGCGTTAGGCCTATAATGGGTAGAAAAAATGGCGGTCAAATTTTTTAATCAAATGAATGGCTTAGATTGATCAGATTTTAATTTTTTTCTTGAGATTTTCTAATTTATCCTTAATGAATATGATTATCCGTTAACTTTTCCGTTAAATATTATCTTTTCAGTTAATTTCAGTTAGTTCACCGTTAACTTACTCATTGATTTCAATAAGAAAGGTCTTAGGTTCGAACCACATCCTAATCAAATTTGGCATAATTAGTACTATATTTTACTCTTATTAAATTAAAATAATAATTTAGTAGCTACAACAAAAAATAATACATATGCATTTCTTTAATTTAGAATTATGTGTCTACAATGCCTTTATTCAATAAAAATTATTCATTATCAATAAATTAAATAAGAGAAATAATTTCATTAGTTATATTGTCTTTATTTTTCTCCAATATAAAAATTCTTTACATTCAAAATTAAAATTCATCAGTTGATTATATTCGCTACATTGTCCCTACAATGTCTTTATTAAAAACAAAAATATTCATTATCAATAAATTAATTAAGAGAAAAAATTTCATTAGTTATATTGTCTTTATTTTTCTCCAATGTAAAAATTCTTTACATTCAAATTCATCGATTGATTATATTCACTACATTATCTATTATCTTTTTTTGTGCACTATTTTTTAATCAAATATCAAAGTTATAATACAAAATAATGCTATATATTTATTTACCAAGTATTTTATTAATACCATGAAAAAAATTTAAAATTTTAAATTAATAAAGTCAATTATATTAAGTACTTGAGGAATTTGTTCACAAAGAGAGTATTCAAATCACACAACAAATTGAAGTGAGAAACTACCTCGCAATGTTCTTGTTTGACAATCAGCAGTTAGCGGATTTGACCAGCAAATTATATCAACGGTTGGTAAAAAGATATTTGAAAAAGTTAGCCGTTTAAATTAACATTTAAAATCATCTAATGGTATAATAATAATAATAATAATAATAATAATAATAATAATAATAATAATAATAATAATAATAATAATAATAATAATAATAATAATAATAATAACAACAACAACAACAACAACAACAACAACAACAACAACAACAACAACAACAACAACAATAATAATAATAATTATTATTATTGTTTTAATAATATTTTTTTAAAAAAATATAGATGTGTTTTGGGGAAATTATTTTCAAAAACTCTAAGTAAAAATATTGTAAATTACAATGTTTGTATTTTCAGTGGTTTGGAACAAATTGTTGCTTCAAACTGTTGAATAACCAAAACAATTTCTTTAGCATTTTGATCTTTGGGTTACATTATATTTACCAATCGTCCAATATCTTTGGGTTGCATTATAATTAATTTTTTTTTAATTTTTACTACATCTAAATTCCTTAAATTAGGAATTTATTTATCCACAATAATTGAGTTTTTTCTCAAAATGGTCCCTCGACTATCGCTTATTCTCAATTTTACATTTCGACTTTTCATTGCACCCAATGTGGTCCCTTGACTTTTAAAAACTCCCCCAAATTGGTCCTCCGTTAGAAATTCCATCTATTGAGTGTTAAAATGAAGGGCATTTTCGTCCATTCACCTATTATATGCCTAATATACTCTGAAAAATAGTCGAAGGACCATTTTGGGAATAGTCGAGGGATCATTTTGAGAAAAACTCATTTATTTATTTCCATTTTTTAACACTATCAAATTAGAATTTCTATACATTTTTTTCTTACAAATATAAATAGTTAAAATCCACAATCAAATTTCAAAATTTTAAACGTTCTCTACAATTTTTTTCCTTTTGTCTAAACGTACAATTTTTTTTCCCTTATCCCTATCAAGTTTTACAATAAATTTCGTAACATTCATAAATACTCATATATATATATATATATATATATTTATATATAATCATATAATATATATATATATATATATAATCATATAATCATATTAAAACTTCAAAAGACAATCAATCACTATGTATTACATTAAATATTATTTTTATAGTTAAAATAAAATTATTAATTTTTTACGTACTATGGTAAACAAGTTTAAAT